GGTTTACTTGTCCCTGATGAGGTTCAAGTATGTTTTCAGGGGTGGAGGGTGAACGTGACGTCCCTGCGTGCCCCCTGCCGGGGAAAGCCCTTCCCTCGACCTCCCCTGGAAGACCGGGCGGCCCCTGGACTTGCTGGGACTCTGGGGGTCTGCGTGCCTTGTGCATCAGGCCCATGCTGCAGCAGCCGTCAGGTCCTACGCGGGCACCGAGCTGGGGGGGCGGGCGGCCCAGTGCGGGGGGAGGGGGGGCTGCAGGAGGGCTATAGCCAGAGGGAAGCCCGACTTGGGGAGGAGGCGGGCGTTCTGGCAGGAGGAAGCCCCTTCCCGGGCCGGGGTCCTCCCAGACAGGCGTGTGAACGAGTTAGGTCACTTGCAGCTCCCTTTTCCTGGATCCGCATTAGAGGCTCGGCCCTTTGATTTCAGAAGAACACCTTCTGCTTTTCACCTTGTTTCATCTTTGAGCTCACGCCTGGCAGTGGCTCAGCTCGGAGTTTCCAGACACCGCGCGGTCGCCTCTTGACGTCACCAGCACCTCACACCTCTGTGGCCCATGGGAGGTGGGAGGCGTGTCGGGAGTTGACCTGGGCCCCTCTGTTCTGTTGTGTTCTGACGTTGGCGTTCGCAGTCCGGTACTGCTGACCTTTGCCCCTTGAAGTCTCTCCTCGAGGCCTTGAACAAAGGCTGCTACCTCCCAGGGAGATAAGCGTGTGTTGTAGCCGGACTGGGGAGGCCACTTCCTCCGAGGGACAGGAGCCTTGTTTCCCCCTCTCCCTGTGGAAGGGTTTATGCAAATTCCAGGCATGTTCCAGACTTGGCCTCCGTCACCTGCTGACCTGTTCAGCTGGGTTTTCCTCCCCTGCACACGGGGGCGGGGCTGTGGTCACACTGCTGCCTTCCGTCTCAGCGCAGTCGTTTGTCACTTTGTCACTGGCCGCCGGGTTCCCCAGGCCTCGGCCCTCCTCCGGGTGGCGTGGTGGCACTCTCTGAAAGGGGCTTCACGCTCAGGGGCCTGGCCTCCCACCCTCCCCAGCGCCCCAGCCGCGTTTCCCGGCGGGGCTTCTGCGAGCTCCTTGCAGGGTGTTCGGTCAGTCGTTTTCCCAAGATCACTTGCCATTAAAACTGATGGTTTCGGTCTTGTGTCCAAGTCTGAACCGGCTCCTGCCTGGTCTGGGTCCCCAGCTCAGCAGCCCCGCCCGGCGTGCCCCCCAGGCCGGTCCACCCTCGTGCCACCCGCACGGCTGTCTGCGTCTGGGTCCCACCTGCGCTGCTTACGTTTTCTGGTATTTTCACTTTTTAAGGTTAAATATGTTTAAAAAGGAAACATTACATTGTGTCCATAAAGTAAGCCTGGTCATTTGTCTTAGCGAGTTGCTGTAGAAACAAAATCAAAAGTAAAAATGGTTGTCTCTGTACTAATTGGTTACAACTGAGACCCCCATTTGCCATGCTTTGGGGACCCCTGGTTTCACGGGGTCACTGCCAGGCATGGTGCCAGCCCATCAGAAGGCAGGCCCCCCATTCCGGCACCGGGGAAGGGGCAACGCCTTGGGAAGCCCGTACTGTCGTTCCCCGAGCGGAAGGGTGTCCCTGGCGAGCAACACGGACTCCGAGGGAGCCTCAGTGCTGTGGTGGGGACGGGGTCCGTTCTGCCCTTTCTCCGCTCTGCGGCAGGGGCCCTTGCTGCGGCCACAGCTGCCTCACAGCTCGGTCCCTTTTCCAGCTGCTTTGATGCCCCTGGTAGAGGGGCCGCTCCGATGACTCATGGAAACCCGGCGACCAAAGTATTCTGATTCCTATTGCATTTTTAGAATGAGACTAAGACAGGACGTGGAAAGGTGATGGCAGCCGGGACGGCCAGGGTCAGGCTGGGAGTGACACACAGGTTTCCCTTCCTTCTGGGATCGCTCTTCTGGGAGGACGTGCTTGCGGGTTTATGTGGCAGCAGCTCTGGGGTTTGGGGCCGACAGAACAGGGACTTTAGGCTTCAGTTCCGTATGTCCTTAGGGCAGCTTTAACTGCTGGTCATTGCTTCTGCTGTGGGCTCTTTGCAAGTAGCAGACCTTGGACTCGCTAGTGGCCCCGCAGGAGTCAGCAAGCGACAGTTTTTATATATCGTGATGCGATGTGACAGGAAGTTGGCCACGGCAAAGCCAGGTGGAGGCCGAGATGCTCAGATGCTGGTGGTGGAGAATCCACAGCAGCCAAAACTCTGCCCTAAAAAGGCGGGACCTTTGCTGGCCCCCACGAGGGAAGACATGGGGAAATGGCAAGATGCCATCAGCTTGTTCTGGGCCGGCCGGAAGGCCGGGGTGGGGGCAGCATCTGCCGGCGCCGGGGCAGTTCGCACCGCGCACGCGGGGGACTCGGAAGGGTGGGATTCTGCCCTGTGGACCTTCCCACGGGGACGATCCTGGGGGGAGGGGTAGCTGGGTTGTGGGACTCGCTGCACAGCAGAGAAGGCCTCGCAGCACAGCGCCCTCCGCCTCTGCTCTGCCCAACATGCCACAGACAGAAACCGCGCCTCCGGGCATAGAGAGAATGGAGTCTAAAACCAGAAAGAGAGGGGCGCCTGGGGGGCTCAGTCGGTTAAGCGTCCGACTTCGGCTCAGGTCATGATCTCACGGTTCGTGGGTTTGAGCCCCGCGTCGGGCTCTGTGCTGACAGCTCAGAGTCGAGCCTGCTTCGGATTCTGTGTGTGTCTCTCTCTCTCTGACCCTCCCCTGCTCATGCTGTATCTCTGTCTCTCAGAAATAAATAAAAAAAAACTAAAAAAAAAAAGTAAAAGTAAATAAATAAAACCAGAAAGAGAGAAAGGAGCCCTGGATCTCTGAGAAGAAAACCACCAGCAAGCACAGCTCCGAGGGGAGCAGGACCCGCGGGCCCAAAGGAGGAGGGGCCGGCTTGACGCCTCCACCAAACCTGAGTGAGAGCCAGGAGCCGGGACAGAGGCAGGACAGGAAGGGCTCCTTCCCACCTAAAGAACTTACCAGAAAAGCAGCCAAGAGGGCGGCTGACCGCCAAAGCTCAGGGCGGCCAGGAGGCGCGGGAGACAGCCCTCCCTCCCCGCTGCCGCCGGAGGCTGCAGGAGCCCTTTCCACGTGTGCGGTTGTCACGGCTAGAGGTTTATCTCGCGTTTCCCTGGGGACACGGGGACCCAGAACGGTCGAGGACGAGGCCAGATGGGCGCCTCGTGCTGCTGAGTGTGCGCAGGTCGGTTTTGCTTTGGGGACAAACAACTTACCAGGAACTGGTAAGGCATTTATTCCCTTTGAGCCACCGTTTCCACTTCTTCGGAACCTGCCCTTAGAGGAAGCAAGTTGTGCATAAATATACAAGGGGCCGTCTTAATGGTGTTTGTGGGTTTCAGTTAGAAACCGCTAACGGTGTAGAAACGCTGAGGTGGTGTGATGCGTGGCGTGGATTGTCTCACGGCCCAGGAAGAGCTCGTCTGCGCCGGCAGGCGCCACGGAGGGCCTGCCGAGGTTGTGCTGTGAGGGGGTGCGTGCCCACGCGGGCGTTCGTCGTGGCCGACAGCATGGGGGGCTGCGGAGGGTAAATAAATACTGGCCGTCTCTGGAAAATGAGAGGACGGGATTTGTATTTATTTCCTTGTTTTTATTTTCTGTGTTTCTGAGAACTTTTCCATGAACTCTGTGCTACTTGAATGAAGAAGTGTATCCTGGGGCCAGCAGACAGCTGCTGCGAGTTGTCTGGGATCCTACACTTCGGCTCCTTCTGAAGTGAGGATGTTTTGGTTTGTGGGCCGTAGCTGTGGGCACAGGGCGCCCTGGCCGGTGCCGGGCCTCCTCCCAGGGGCTGGCGAGGCCCCTGCGCCCGCTTTCTCTCTGCTCCGAGCTCCCGGTGTGCTGGGGCTCTCCGGGGAGGACTCAGCCGCCCAGCCACCTCCCACCGCCGTTAAGGTGCGCTCCTGGGTTCTTCCGCCCGAGGTCTGCCGGCCACCAGCCCGCGTGGCTTTCACGCTTTAGCCTTGATTCACTTCCAGGTGGTTCTTCTGCCCACCTGTGGTCACCACGGATGCAGCCCCACGGGGACTTGGGCTTGTCGGGCCCGGCCGGGACCCTCACACTGGCCCCCAGCCCTCAGTCCTGACGCTTGTGTTAATGGCTGTCACATAGGAGCACCCCTCTCTGGGCCACTGCTTGCTCTCTCTCCTCACCACCCCCCCTTCTCTCTCTCTCTCTCTCGCTTTGATCAGGAAATTCCATGGGTGAATTAAATCAGTCTCTTTAAACGGAACTCATGGGGCGCCTGGGTGGCTTAGTCGGTTGAGCGTCCGACTTTCACTTAGGTCATGATCTCGCGGTTCGTGGGTTCGAGCCCCGCGTCGGGATCTGTGCTGACTGCCAGCTCGGAGCCTGGAGCCTGTTTCAGTCTGTGGCTCCATCTCTCTCTGACCCTCCCCTGCTCACGCTCTCTCTCTCTCTCTCTCTCTCTCTCACCTAGAAATAAATAAAACATTTAAAAAAAAAAAAAAAAAAACGGAACTCAAAGAATAAAGGAACTATTTAAGGCTTGAGTGTGAATATTTACCACATTTCTAACGTGTGTGAAAACACAAAGTGCTTTGTTACCCTTAAGTTAAGTATTTGCTGTACACCCGCTGCACGCCAGCCCTGGAGGGAGCGTGCTGATGAGGCCACCTCTGTCCCTGTCCTCCCCAGAGTGTGTGGCGTGGTGGGGAACGTAGGAGTTCGGTAAGCAGTTAACGCCCCCAGGAAAGTAAGCACGTGCGGTGAGGCGCCCTGAGGGAGGAAGACGGCCGTTTCCCCGGCAGGACGCGTGCGCGGCGCGAGGGGAGGCTGTTCACGGAGCGAGCTCTGCTGCCAGGGGACTGTTTGCCGCCCCCGGAGGTGGCCCTGATTGGTCAGGCTTCTCTTGACTGAGGCACTTAGGCCGTGAAGGTTGCGCCTCTCAACGCTTTACCCAACAGCACCGTCACGGAAGCGGTCCCAGAGTCGCTAACCTCTGTGTGGTTTTAGCCGTCAGACTGAGCCACCGAAGAAGGAGGCCATTGCTGCAGGCCCGCAGGTGAAGCGAGCGGATGAGTGGAAGGACCCCTGGCGTCGGTCCAAGTCTCCCAAGAAGAAGCTCGGGGTGTCCGTCTCCCCGAGCCGGGCCCGGAGGCGTCGGAAAACATCAGCCTCGTCGGCCTCTGCCTCCAATTCCTCCAGGTAAGGAGGCCGCGCCGCCTGCCGACACGCAGGGGGGCGCAGGGGGCGTCTGTGCAGACCGCCTGAAAGCTGGGGTGCTCGAGCGCCGGCGGCAGACGGCACCGGAGCCTCACCCCCCCGACGGGCAGTGGGGAGCAGCCGGGGCCCGGCCCCTCTCTTTCCCTGTGAGTCGGGCCTCTGTGTGTCCACCAGGTGAACACACGGGAGGGGGGGGCGGCGCAGAGGTCACCGTGGGTGCGGATGTCCGGGGGGTGCGTCCGCGCCCGCGGATGCCTCCGGAGGGCAGGTGTGCGGCCGCGCCAGCCGGGCCTGTGCCCGCGGGCAGCAGGTCAGCGCCACGGGCCGCGGGCGGGGGGGCGCTGGCCCCACTTGCGTCCTGTCTCCGGGCACCCAGGTCGTCGTCGCGGTCGTCCTCGTACTCGGGCTCTGCGTCGTCCCGCTCGCGCTCCCGCTCGTCGTCCTACAGCTCCTACTCCAGCCGCTCCTCCCGGCACAGCTCGTTCTCAGGCAGCCGCTCCAGGTACGTCGGGGGCCGAGCGTGGGCGCCTGGGCCCCGCGGCTCCTGCCGCCTTCCAGGGGGGGGGGGGGCACAGAGCAGGTGGGCCCCGTCCGCGATGCTACAGCTCCTCCATCGTCACGGGAGGCTCCGCGGGACGTTCCTAGAAAGACCAAACAGTAGGTGTACTTTCCCCGTTGAAAACAGGCTTAGAATTTTAGGGAATTTTTCGTCGTCACTTGTGTAGGAGCGAACTTGTTCATCAGTGTAACGGACGGGACCATCGGGGGCTGTTTCCACTCTGGTCCCTCTAACCAGGGCCGGTGGCCTGTCCCCCCCCCACCCCGCACCCGGGGCCGGTGCCGCCCGCCTGAGTCCCTTCTGCCTCGTTCCGCTTGCAGCTAATGCTATGAGGGGAGCACCACTGGCTCCCTTTGCTCTTCCCTCGCCCCAGTCAGGGCTTAGCTCACAGAGGAGAGGTCCGGGACCGCGGGAGGCGGGGGGGGCTGCCCAGCACCCACAGATAGGCCGCCGCGCCCTGAGATGTCATCATCCCAGTCGCTGACCGGCACCCGCACAGGCCACACACGTGTGCGCGCACACGACACTTCTCTGGCAGTGCATCATCACACGCTCTTGGAATAAATCGGCGGGTCCCACAGTGGCGCCCCTCCCGGCAGGCCGTCACGGGGATGATTTGAGCAGCATCAGGGTCAAGGGCAAGGTGCCCGTGCAGGGCAAGGGGAGTAGGCTGCGTGGGTCCCGCTTTCTGGGGACGTTGTATCTTGTGCCGCCCGATGCTGCTGAGAAAGGGGAGCGTCTGCGGGGTCAGCGAGGTCTCACAACCTCGTGGCCAGGGGTACAGTACCCGCGGGGTGCAGGGGGAGCTGCCGCTCACGGGGCGGTCAGGGAGAGCTACCTGTTGGAAGAGAGGTGGAGGGTGGGAAGGACGCCAGCCAGGGCAGCTGTGGCAAGAGAATGTGTGCGTGGCTTCGTTGGCACGGACGGGCAGTGAGCTCTGGGCCTGAGGCCCCGCTGAGAAACTGGGAGATTCTGGAAATGCTGGGGGGGGGTGGGGGGGAGGGATGTCGCCTGCAGTCTCTCCTCTGCGGGGCCTTGAAGGCGCTGGGGGACGGGCAGGAGGCCCGCGCTGCAGTGAGGCGTCCCTGTCACTCAGCTCTGCAGAGCCCACACCCGGGACCGGTGTCCCTCGTCAGCTTCAAAATCTTTTCACTGCGACGTAGACGACTCAGCGGTTTCCACAAAGTCAGCTGCACGTTCTTGGCCACCTGACCTTCCCCTCAGGTTGCCCGCACGCCCATGCCACCCGCAGACCTCTCCCCTACACACTCCGTAGCGGGCGGTGGTGCGGGGCTGGCGGCCTCGCTAGGCCTTCCTTCCTGTGGCCCCAGCCGCGTGGGCGTGAGGACGGGAGGGCCGGGCATCTGTCCCGCGCTGTGGCTGCAGACCTGCGCTGTGGCAGCCGCGGGGGCCTCACGGCGTGGGAGCTGTTGCTTCTGCGGTTTGGCTGAAGACGTGGACGGCTCCCCGTGGTCTCCCAGTCGGGAGGGATCGGCAAGCCTGGGAGCCTTGGGGGGCGGGGGGTGCTGGGTCCTGGGCCGGAGTCCGCAGCCTGGCCAGCGCCCCTGCCCTGTCCCTGCTGCTGACACCTGACGCTGTCCTGGCGTGTCCTCTGGTGGGAACACCCTCCCCCCTGGACCTCAGTGCCTGGCTCCCTCGCCTGATGTCCCCGGGCAGGTGGGGCTGTGTGTCTCCTTGAGGGACCCCAGCCTGGTGTCTCCTTTTCCTGGTGCTGTTTTAGGAGAAGACCAGGAACACTCAAAAGCCATTTTAAATCTGAGGCAGATAGAGACTTGCAGTGATTTTCTGTGACCGTAGGCAGCGTCCCTGACATTGGCCACACGTGGACCAGGGCACCGTGACGCCCCCTCCTCACGTGTCTGTTTACTCCCTAGGTCCCGGTCCTTTTCCTCGTCCCCGTCCCCGTCCCCAACGCCTTCCCCACACAGACCTTCCGTCAGAACCAAGGGGGAGCCAGTCCCGCCTCCTGGGAAAGCAGGGTAAGTGCCCCGTGGGCCAGGCACGCCTCCCCCTCTCCCTGTGCTCTCCCTCGTTCCTCTCTTCTCACTGTGAAGAAGCCCCAGGGAGGCCCTAGAAGGGGGCAGAGGCGCCAGGGGGCCAGGCTGGGGGGGCCGCGTGCACAGGAGCGCCGGCACCCGCCGCCCCGGGCTCACCGATCGCTTCTGCTGCTCCCGGAGGGGGCGCTGGTCCCCCCCACGCGTGCGAGCCCCACAGGGAGCACTGCAGACCCCACAGCGCCTCGCGTCGCAGCGCCCTGGCGGCCAGTGACGGGGCACGGCCGGGGCGCGTCTGAGCACAGGGGCCCCGCCCGCTCGCTGTCCTCGCCGGCCCACGCCGCCGCCGCTCTCGCGAGCGAGTCCTCAGTAGCCCTCCGTTAAAGCGAATGGTGCTGAGGGATACCTTACGTCAGGGGCAGCGCAGCCGTCTAAATTGTGCTACCGGAGGGACTTAACATACGTGAGGCCGCCGCGGCCCAGACGCACGGGGCCCGGAGAGGCTGTCCCCGGCCGGGCCACACATGAGGGGCCTCGCGGGAGGCGGGCTGCATGGGCAGCCTCGTCCACACAGAACGTGACTCGCCCCTGACGCCATGCCAGGCGATGTGCTTTTTGCCCAGACCTTGTCCCCGCTGACCCCGTCTGCCCGAGGACGGCAGGGTATCTCCCCGCACCGGCAGGGGCGCCAGGCGCTCAGGAGCCTTTTCTCTGCGGCGGCGTGGGCCCCACGCGTGAGCGGGCCGTGCCCCGGGGCAGCCCGGGGATGTGCGTCCCAGCAGGCACGGCGCCGGCTCTGTCCTCGAGGTTCCTCAGAGGGCCCATCCTCTCCCCGCGTTGGGCCGGGCCTGACCCTCCCTTCGTCTCGCGTCACAGAGAGAAGTCCGTGAAGAAGCCAGCCCCACCTCCAGCGCCGCCACAGGCCCCTAGGACCCCTGCCCCGGCGCCCGAGCCTGCCAAGCCGGGGGACCCTCGGGAAGCCAGGAGGAGGGAGCGGCAAGCGAGGAGCCCCCCCAGGAGGTAAGCCAACAGGTTTCTGGGTACCTTGTGGCGCGTTCTACATCTTTGGTGGCAGAGCTGAGGGACGTGACCTTGCCGACCCTCGGTTTCCCCGTGAGCGCGATGGGAGGTGCGAGCATCTTAGGACGGAAGGTGTGGTTGTGAGGGACGCAGGCGCCCCCTCGACACCAAGGTCTCCCCTGGAAAGAGGCGGTGCTGCTGGGCGTTCGAGGAGAGAGAGAGCAGAGCCCTGCGCGCTCGTGGGAGGGCAGCGGCGCGTGGGCCCGTGGCTCCTGGGACGGGGGATGGGATGGGGGGCGGTGGGGACAGGAGGGGCAGGGGCGGGGAAGAGGGAGGTGGGGGCAGGAAGGATGGGGACAGCAGGCAGTGGCGCCACCCTCCGTTGCAGGCGGACCATCAGCGGCAGCGGCAGCGGCAGCAGCTACAGCGGCTCCAGCTCCAGATCCAGGTCATTGTTGTCGCCTCTCCGGCCCCGTGCGCCCCGGCCACCTCCCCCCTCCCCCCGGGAGGACCCGGAGAAGACCAGGGACCTCAGGCGGCTGCCCCCAGCTCGCGGAGGTGCCCAGCAGGCCTGAGGCCAGCACGGAACCCTCCCACCACCCCGCTGGTCGTGCCCGAGGCCCTCGGTGGACGGCCTGTGGCAAAGCCTGCGGAGAGACTGGGTAGGAGAGGCTCTGCCGCTCAGCTGTCTGGAAGCAGAGACCGTGTCAGGCCAGCGCTCAGGTTCCTGCGGCGAACTTTCTCTCTCATTTCTAGGCAGCAGGTGTTTCATCCATTTGCCCACATCTTCCTAAAATAGGTTTAAAGTCCCCCCATCTTGAAACAAAAGCGGGCCCTTCCTCTCTACCCGGATCGTTTCGGGGTCTGAGGACCTAGGAAGTGATGGTCGGGTGTCTTCTGAGGGTGCTGGGGCTCCGCGGCCTGCCGCGTGGGGGTCCTCATAGCGGGAGCCCTGGGGGCAGCAGTGCCTGTGAGACGGGCCACCGTTCCCCTGCTTCCCTGAGTCCCGTGCTGGGCCGGGCAGCCTCTGCCTCGGGGTCCGGTGTGCCTGCGGGTCAGAGCCCTCCCCTCCCTCGGGCCTCCTCGCCTGCGCCCTCGGCTCTGCCGCCGCCAGCCTGGCTCATGCTTAGTCCCTGCCCAGCAAACAGGTGGCTGTGTATTAGTGCAGGACCCTCAACGGGGGACATGGGCGTCCCTTCACCGGGTGGCACCTCGAAACCACCCTGAGCGCCCCCAAAATCTTGGGTTTCCTGGGTACACATTCCTCAGAACTGGAAACCGGGGAAAGTGGGCATGGAGACCCGCTGCCGACCCCGCAGCCTCGCCCCTGGCCATCTGGCAGTCACGCCACGTGGATGCAGATGTGCTTCTGTGTGTCCAGGTCCCTGAGCGTGAGCAGCGTCTCCTCAGTGTCCAGCGCCACGTCGAGTAGCAGCTCGGTGCACAGCGTGGGCTCAGACGACATGTACGCAGACCTGGCCAGCCCCGTGTCCTCGGCGAGTTCGCGCTCCCCCACCCCAGCCCAGACCAAGAAGGAGAAAGGTACAGGGGGTCCTCGCGTCCTGGGCATGGCGGCCGCAGAGGCGGGCAGGCCCTTCGTGGAAGGAGGGTGCGCGCCCTGCCTCGCTCGGTCCCCCAGGAGAGCACAGGCGCCCCCCGGCTCTGCCCCCCCGCCTCCATGGCCCGCAGGAGACCGCCATGCCCAGCTGGCAACCGTGACTTGGCGCTTGTCGTTGGCAGGAAAGTCCAAAAAAGAAGACGGGGTTAAAGAAGATAAGCGGAAAAGGGACTCGGCACAGCTGCCCAAGTCCTCGAAGCCCTCTGCAGGCGGCAAAGCCCCGCAGCCCGCGGGCCCCCCGCAAGCGCCCCCCGGGCAGCCCCAGCAGGGCTCCTTCGTCGCCCACAAGGAGATCAAGCTGACGCTGCTGAACAAGGTGAGTGGGGGGCGCTGTTGGTGGTGGCTCGGGGGGTCCTGCTCCGGGGACCCCGCTCCGGGGGCCACTCTGTTTGCTGGGGCCACTCAATTCCTGGGATTGGACCTCTGAGGGCCGCACACACCTCGCTTGTCCTGCCCCAGCAGACAGCCTCGTGGGGGGGGGGGCGGGGGGGTACGGGGGGGGCGGGGGCGGGTCCCGGGAGATCCCAGCGTCGCAGGGGTGCTGGGTGCTCCGACCCTTCCCCGAGTGCCCGGGCCCTGCCGGCTCCCACAGTGCAGCCCAGGGACAGGGAGCAAAGCAGACATGTGCTCTGAGCTGACGTCCCCAAGGCTGCATAGGACGGGAAGGGCGAGAGGCCAAGTCCCCTGCGGCCCATCCCGGGCGGGTGGCCCCCAGGGAACGCGGTGCTGTGCAGGGGCCTTCCCTGCAGAGAGTGGAGGCCCGAACCCAAGGGCCTTGCGCCCCTTGGGGCCCGGCGAGCACCAGGAGAGCCCGAGGAGGGGTGGGGGGCTGTGAGGCTGTCAACCACCCTGTCCCCTGCGTCCCGCCCGGGCTGCTCCCGCGTGGGGCCAGCAGCTCAGCCCCAGGGTCCTCACTGCACCCTCCACTGTCTCAGGCGGCTGACAAAGGGAGCCGGAAGCGGTATGAACCCTCGGACAGAGACAGGCAAAGCCCTCCTCCAGCCAAGCGTGCTAACGTGTCCCCAGACCGAGGTGAGCCCCCCACTGCAGGGCCCAGCGCGGCTCAGGGGCTTTAAAAGATACCCCAGGGAGCCGATCACGTGGGTGTGTCTGCCAGTACGTAAGGTTTTATGAAGTTAAAGGGAAAGAAGATATTTCCACATTTACTTATGCTAAAATGACAATAGTAGATTATTATGTTTTAACATAAGTATCATTTTTTTATGGGTGGAATAACTAAATTTCCAGAAACCGAAGTTAGTGGGTTTGTCATCGTTTTCTCTTGAAAATGTCTTCACTCTCTGGGTGACGCGGGACACACGGACTCTGGGAAGCATAGTCCGCGTGAGAATGTGAGCGAGCGCGCAGGGGCCAGGAGGGGCCTCGATGTCGCAGTAGAAACAGTGTGACCCCAGAAGGTCTCTGCCCTGGACCTGGGGCATCAGGAGCAGAAGGAGGGAGAGCCCGAGGGCGCCCCGGCACAGACCCCCATCGCCCTTGCCAAAGGCCTCTCGTCTCATCGGATGGCAGCGCCACAGTTGCCTCTGGCTTGCTGGTTTCACTCTCCCCTGCCCCCCGGCCCCCGCCCCCCTCCAGCGCTGCCTCAGCGAGGTCACTTTCTGCTGTCGCCAGCGCTGGCCCGTTCCTGTCCTCTGACCGGCTCTGCCCCTCGCCTCGTCCCGTGAGAACGAGCAGGCGGTACTGAGCTGTCGCGAATCTGGAATGGGGCCGCGGGCAACCCAAACCTGTCCATGCGCGCCACCCGCAGGTGACTGGGACCCCGGTCTTACCTCATCCGTGTCATCCAGGTTCTCGGGACCGGAAGTCAGGTGGGAGACTTGGCTCCCCGAAGCCAGAGCGGCAGAGAGGCCAGAATTCTAAGGCACCCGTGGCCCCTCCAGACAGGTGAGTGCCCTGCCCCTGCCCTGGGCACTCAGCATAGGCGCTGTCACCACGGGGCAGGCCAGCCACCCAGCAGGTCCCCGAGCGAGGGGGCCCAGGGCAGCAGGCTTTCTGGAGCCCCCAGCCCTGCCCGCACTCCACTGCAGCCTCGGGGTGGAGGTCCGGATGCGTATACACCTCGGTTATCCGTACAGCCCCCACCCCCCCGCCAGTGCCCAGGCCCCTGGGGCTCCTGAGTCAGCAGTGCGGGGGGTCCTTGCGGGGGCCGCAGAGAAGCCCCAGCGGCAGCAGGAGGGACAGGCCAGCAGGTGCCAGGCAGGCCCTGGGTGCGCTGTCCCCTCCACTCTCCACAGCTCAGGGCCCCTCCCACCGCGGCCAGAGCAAGCGCTGCTGGCGGGAAGCTGGCCTGTCTCCACAGGTCCAGGGAGCCCCCCATCCACCCTGGGGGCTCTGCGCACAGCTGCCGGGGTCCAGGGCCCCCGTGCCCCTGCTCAGCGAGAGGCTCTCATCACAGGGGGAGGCGCTCTGACCTGCCTGCGGCCTCTCCCTGCCCCGCCCCCCCCTCTGCAGGAAGCGCCAGCTGTCACCCCAGTCCAAGAGCTCCAGTAAGGTCACGAGTGTGCCCGGCAAAGCCTCAGACGCCGGCGCTGCCACCGCCGTGTCCACCGGCACCAAATCAGGGAAGGCCAGCACGCTGTCGCGGCGCGAGGAGCTCCTGAAGCAGCTCAAGGCCGTGGAGGACGCCATTGCTCGCAAGCGGGCCAAGATCCCCGGGAAAGTGTAGGGGCCCCACGGGCTCGGCCCCCCCGAGTTAGAGACTCTCGTGTTTTTATAAATAGGGTAAGCACAGCCGTCTCCGATTTTGAAGTTAACGTCTAATTTTGGCTGTGATTCTTTTTAAAAATTAAAAAAGGAAAAAAAAAGTTTCTCAGCTGGAAAAGAAGCCACACACGAAATGAGGGTGATGCTGAATCCCACAGGCTCCCCCCGGAAGGCGGGCCGGCCTGAGCGGCCCCAGCCCAGGGCAGGGGGCCCGGAAGGCGGGCGGGCCGGCCGGCGGCAGGAGCAAGGGCGCGGCATCGGTTTTATTAAATTATACGTCCCAGGCGCCCGGTTCCGCCTGCCCGGTCTGCCTCCCCCACCCTCACCCCGTGCCAGCCAGCCTGCCCCGGGCCGGTCCTCTGCACCCTCCTCCCTGCCCCAGGGCCCCGGGAGCCTGTGCTCCCCACCCGCCTCCTCCCCACCCCGCCGCCCCCAGGGTCAGAAAATAGATATATATTCTTGACTGAAGTCCGATTGGGAAATATTTCCTGTCTTTTATTTTAAGCATCAGATTGTTTTAGTTGATTTAAAAAGGAAAAAAAAAACATAGAAAAGACCAAAAAAAAAAAAAAGACAAGACCGAGGGTGTTGTTGGGCGCCTAACATGGAGGGTCTTTTTTGAGGGGTCTCCTAAAATAAAGTATTTTGATAAGCAGCCGTCTTGCCCTGGTGGTGACGATGACTGGCCCAGGCCCTCACCTGCGACCACCCCCCCCCGCACGGCGCTCACCTGGCCCGCCTGGCAGAGGAGTGGCCCCCAGCTGCTGGGGGCACGGGGGCTCCCCTGCAATGCCCGGGAGCTGTCGTGAACTCGGTGCCAGGACCGTGCGCGGAGCCCGCAGGGGTCACCGCAGGGCACAGACGGCCGCGAGGTCTGAGCGGGGCTGTCCTCACGCTCTGCCCTGGAGGGCCCCTTCGGGCCGGGACCACGGATGGGGGCCCCCTTCTGCTGTGGATTTAACTCCTGGAGGAGCACCGTGGCCTCGGGGCGCCCCCACGCCGCAGTCGGTGGGGGGCCCTTCTGCCCTCAGGTTGCTTCAAAACAAGGTCGTAAGTGCTGCCGTCCCCAGGTCTGGTTCTGGGGGGGAAGGGGGGTGCCCAGCGCCCGGGTCAGGAGCCCACGCTGCCGTCCCCAGGTCTGGTCCTGGGGGGTGGTGCTGTGGGTAGCACCCGTGCGCTGGGCACTCTCCCCCAAGGCCGGCTGGCTCTTGGCAGTGGGGCCCGGTGGGGGGCGGACTGCGCTCCGGTGCGTGGTCACAGCCTGCAGCACCTGGGACTTCGGCATGGTGGCCCCCGTCACAGGCTCAGCCATTCCTCACAGCCCATCTGATTTGCCATCGGGTCAAAGCCGGGTTCAAGGGGAGCTCCCGTTCTCTGAGAGGGGGACCTTCCAGGGCACAAAGCCGGAACCCAGGACGTTCTGGGGGCCAGCCTGTGCCTGTGCGCTCTGTACCCCGGGGCTGCTGGGCCCACAGGCCGGCCGGGCTGTGAGTGCCACTCCGCCGCCAGGAGCCCCCAGGTGAGCCCCCCGCCCAGCTGCGTGCGCGCAGCTCTCCTGGCCCCTCCCCCCGCCTGACCCTGGCCTCTGCCACTCGGGCTGGAGCCACAGCCCTGGCTCCGCTCAACCCCGGCCTGGTTTAGGCAGCTCTGCATTTGCCGTCGGGGCTGTGTCTAGGCTAGACTCAGCAGGTGCCTGTCCAGGGAAGGGTGAGGGCCGCACCCCAAGCCAAGTCTACCCCACCCGGTCTAGTAGAAGGAACATCCTGGGCCAGGCATCCGGAGAAGGAAGGTCTCTTGTTATGTAATGGGTCCCCCCC